AAATCCACATCTTCATATTCACACATTTTGGTACGGTATGTCCTTTTTTAGCAATTACTCAAATTATCTATCTTAATTACTCTTTGTTCAGACACGTATCTTTATACATATGCCAATCTTCCACTGTTACAAAGCCTATACAATTGGATCTTAGCTATTGCTGGTCAATGCAAATGCTTCTGCTTAATTGCTTAATGAAAACCACTCCCACTTCCCAACAGATATAAACCCCATGATATTAAGATTCGAGGAGTTGGGTTCAACCCAGTCAGACTCGCATCCATTCAATTCATTTTCTCCCTTTTATTCACTCATCTGTTCTTCGTGTTCATAATTTAAATAAAGGTTTAATTACCCAAGTTTGAAGTGGACAAGCCGGTTTCTCGTCGTAAAGAATCTTAGACCTCACAACATTCTCTCAACCCGACCTCTCGTATTCACCTTCACACAACTTTCACGACACTGAGAGCAAACAGATGGCGATGGACAGTTGAAGGGTAGTGGTGTCGCATTCAATGTAAATATAAACATTGGTTAGAATTGGCCTTTCGACATTAATTTTAAATAGCCTAATCTTGATTGGTTAATTCATTGACAATACTTCTTGGCTAACTTTGTATATTTTCTTTGATAGTTGATAAGTACTAAATGAATATTTATAAGCCTTATCTGATATCTTCTTAATCCACCATTCACCTCGTTTTCATAATTTCATAGCACAGATATTCACCCGATTTTATTTGAATGATTCTTATATGACTCAAGATCGATTAGAAATCATTAGTAATTTAAACTAATAAGGGAAACAAACAGTTATTCATTAAAAAATGTTGAAGCATTGAAAGAGAGAGGGATTTTATCCATCGTTCTTAAAAATGAAATGCATAAATTGACTAGCATTTGAAGTACTTTTGAAATAATTATTATTTTTTGTTCTTTTGAAATAGACATTTGAAGTAATTATTTTGAAATGATTGATTATTGGCATTCAATCATCAATTCAATTTCAGTGATCTTTTTCACATTTTTAATGTTTGAAGCAATGTAATAAGCACTTGTTTCGGAGATTTTATCAAGTACTAAAAAGACTTTCTGCTTGTGAAATTCTGAATGAAATTTCGATCTAAGAACGATAGCTGCTCTATTGCTGCTTGAAACTTATGTGTTGATATGACCCCAAAATATATGCTTTCAATAAAATGCACTTTATAAAATATTGTTCCACCTATGCTATCAAATAAATTTCACAAACAAGTGCTTATTTTATTAGCTAAAAAAAACTGTTTAGTTTCGAAAAAATTTAGTATAAATAGCAGAAATTATCCAATTGAGTTTTTTTAATGTGGTAGTCCACTTTTTTCATTTTTTAAAAAACGTTTGCAGGGAATGTTCTGTTCAACTGGTATTTGTATGTGCCGGAGTAATTTTGTTGCCATTCACGGATATTGTTACCTCAGTAAGCCTTTTGTTAAGAATTTTAATTTCCATTTGATATTTAATATTTTACATATTCGATACTGTTGATTTTGTAATGCCAAATTTACGCTATTTCGACAATCAAGGATTGATGGAACTAATTTAAATATGAAGAAATTTGATTTAACATCACTGTAATTGAAATGATAAACCACATTTTCGTCGGTGAAGATGAACGATTTCTCTGTTCAATCTATTATTAAATGGAGTTTGCTGCAATTCAAACTTCAGATTCACTCAACCTCAGTGAGTTGACTGAATCAGAACTTCGAAATGCAATTGTTTTAATGGAACTATTTTAAGAATTTCGCCAAAATATTCAATGAATAAGCAAAAATTCACTACATTGAATGCTTCAGCTTTCATTTAATTTTACTTCGACGATTAATTAATTCAAACTTGTGTGACTAATACATCTGTTGCTATCTTAGAAAATTAGGCATCCAAACCTTTCCGATGTTTAATTTTCATTGCGGAGAATATTTCCATGCTATTCTATGTTACACCTCGCAGCCGTAGTAATAAAATTGTTATAATATTACGTATTGGAAGTAAAAAAGATTCAAATTTTGCGATAGATAATTAGCAAAAAGCAAATAACAATTCTAAACTTTCTCTTAATTTTTTTTTAAATGAAAAAATAAATTATATGTGATCAATGCAGAGAAAAATATCGGTGAAAGCGGTTGTCAGTACTCGGAGCAATGCAGTGCTGCATGGCCCGGAGCTCGTTGTGAAGACAGTAAATGTAAATGTCCATCCGATGTTAGTGGAATTCCTTATGTACAAGCACGTGCCCATCACGGTGTTGTTTGCATCTTATTATCTGGGGAAGATGGTGATCCGGTGCCGAAATGTCCACTTCCAGAATATGATGATGACTTACTCACAATGCCGATATCACAACTTCGCAATCCAGCAATGACTAATTTAGATGATTATAATGTATGTTATGCGAGTCGAATACCTTACTTAGTTTTGAACCAAAATGCTAGGATCATTTTGCTGGGAATAAGAGAAATTTTTGGAAGAACAGCTATAAGTCGCTTTTTATTAATGCTTACAATTTAAAATTAAAGGTCAAGAAAATATTAATTATCTTCTCTCATTTTTTAGATCTTGCCAGGAGAACATATCAATCCGTTGCTATTCTGTTCTTCAACATCCACCGATTACAATACATTTGTAGCAAATGGTGGAGGTGCATGTGCCTATGCAACAGAACCGTATAAACCTGAAAATGGAGTTTACATCGCAGATATTTATGACTGCATAGCGGTACCATTGAATAATGTGAAATTGGCGATGAAAGGTATTTACAATATTCATCCACAAGCAGATGGGATTTGTTGTCCAAATCGTGGTAAGTCAATGAATAATTAATAAATGTAAGAATTTGCCAACATTCAACATATGTTCAAGAAGTTAACAAAATAAGTAAAGAAGGGAAACAAAAGCTGAAATTAAAATATTGTTTCTGCAAAGAATGTATTATCATTTTCACGTTTTAATTTTAGAAACTCGAGAAGTATAAGAATTCGCTACCTGAGAAACTTAAAATATTCCCTTTTGTAGCATTCACTTGCATACAACCGAAACATGAAGCGAAATCAAATGTAAAGGGGTCAACTGGCATACGACCACGGTGGTGGTTCAATTCTGTAACCGGTATGTGTGAACAGTTTATGTGGGATCCATGGGATGAAACTGAAGTACAATCTCCTAATAACTTCAAAACTCGAGAACATTGCGAGTCGTATTGCAAAGACAGTAAGTTGTGTTATAAAATTTAAGTGTTTTTAGTGGTAAATTATATCTAGTCAAAGTAATATTATGAAGAGAAATGATAATTCATTGGGATTTGTTCAAGCTTCTAAAGTATGTTTTTAAGCATACCATTTTCACTCATAATGTTTAGTGCTTAAGACATTCAAATATGCAATTTATTTATTAGTAAATTTGTAAATGAATTAATGAGAAAACTCATTCTGAATTTACTGCTGGCAAAAAACACTTGGCATTAAAATTTTTCCACTTTATTTTTCAAAAAATTCAACATACATTTTTAAGCGTGTAAACGCGGTTCATTGCAATATTCAATAAGCCGTATTTTAAACGAGGAAGAGCCGATTACAAACTGCCAGACAATGAGTTCATGCTCATTCAATTTTGAATGTAAAACAACTGATTGGAAACAACTTTGTTGTCCAAGTGTCGCAAGCATATGTAGTATTGCTGGTGGACGTCCACTTGATCCTTCTCGTCATACTAATTTCGATCCCGGCTTTAGTATGAAGAGGTCAGAAGTGTTGTAATTTTTGCAGAATGGAAATAATTCAAAGAATATTTTAGCAAAATTCAAATTTGTTCAGGGTTTTTATTTTTCAATTTTATGTAATATTTAGTTGAATTATGGATCTATAAAGATGTTGCATAAAAAGTTTTAGATTCTTCGAAATCTTAAATTTGATTTACTGATTAACAAAAAAGTGTTCATTGTTCATGAAAGTAGTTATGCTAATAAGAAATAATGAATAAGAACGATTGAAACCGAATAATACGATAACATCTGAGAGAAATGAATTACCAGGATGTTTAACTTGAACTTCGAGAAATCCCACCGGTATTACTATGATTCCGATCAAGGCAGCTGTACGTCGTTTACATACAACGGTGCGTTGGGTAATTTCAACAACTTCAAGTCATTGTCTGAATGTGAACTATTTTGCGAAAAGCTTCAATGTAAATATGGTACGCCGCTGAAAATCAAACAGGTTAATCAACAATGTAGCCATGATAGCCATTGTCCAAGCACACATGAATGCGAAAAGGACCATAAGATTTGCTGTCCGAAACCTTGTTAGTTCTTAAATTCCCTTGTTTTTTATCATCTGTGTATTTCAATTGCACAGACAAATTAACGTTGATATTCTTTCAAAATGATTAATTTCATAATAAAAATAATGTAAGCAAAATGAGTAATTCGAATAATAAAATTCCAAAAACTGACCAATTTAATTGAAAATTTGGCTTTGAACTTGTGTGTAAAAAAAATAAAGCTAATGAAAGTAAATTTGATATCTGACTTATTTTTGTTTAAGAAGTAAGGCCGAGTCATTAATTTACAGCCTTATTACCTAGAATCAAATTAGAATATACAACTAAATTTCCCCTTAGCAATTCTTAATTCATACGGCATAATTCAACTTTTCAATAAGTTTATAATATTCAATTTTGATTAAAATGCGCAATATATTCAGTCAAATCATACACTTATGAATGAATCCGTTTTGAAGCATTCTTATTATTATTATTTAGAAATTGTCATTGTTAACTTACAGATTCGATTTGTTCACAACCATTGCGGCTTGGGAATTGCAAGCAAAGCGTCCGGCGATACTGGTATAATATGGCAATCCATGCATGCCAGACCTTCAACTATACAGGATGTCAGGGCAACGACAATAACTTCGATACATTGCTCGAATGTCAAAATACATGCGAGAATATTATTCGTATGTTTTTCTTTCATATTACTTTAAAATTTACTTATAATGTTTAATGTTTTTGCAAAAATTTGAATAGAAAAAATTATATACTCAAAAATACAAAAGTCAAATGAGTTAGTATTAAGCATTGATCGTAGCATTGCGGGGTAAGATCGAGTGACTAGCAGCTAGTAGCTAATGAATGGTAGAGCTTCGAATGGTGTCGAGATGATTCCAATTGCGATATGATCGCATAATGAGGCTTATAGTAAATATTCCATTAAGAAAAAACAATTTTTTAATTGCACAGAACATAAAAATGATGAGGAACAGCAGAATTTGAAGCCGTCTGTTGTTCAAAATATTAGCGAGTACTTACTCGATGGAAAACATCAGTAGTAATATAAAATTCAAAAAACATTGCTGTTAGGGAACAATTTCGATCTCATTTTTTTTCTGGATTATAATTAGAATGGAATGCATTGCTATGTTAATTTAATTTTATGGGTAAAAGTTTCAAAATTAGTGTATTTAATATTATAGCTAACTTTAATCGAAAATTTTTTGTTTGAAAAAATCAATTGCTTCTTGATTTTCAGCAGAACCACAATGTCCACAAGGAGACGCATACAAGGACAGTCAAGGAAATTATTTTGTTTGTTCCAATTCTAATACTGCGGGTACGTGTCCACTAAACTACGAATGTCACTTTGATGGATATTTGTGGGGCTGTTGCCCAACGAGGGCTCATGCATGTTTGTTATCGGTTAATAAAGGCGTTACTTGCGATGCCGGTTCATCTTACCGCTATTTTTATAACTCACAAACACAAGAATGCGATAATTTCCTTTATAATGGTAAGTTATTACCAACTTTTACTTGTTTTTTATTTGCTCACTTGTTTAGACATCATTTCAATTGCGAGCACAATTTATTCACTTAACAATTTCCAAAACAGCGCTTACTTGCAAATAAACTTTATATTAACATAACTGAAACGAAATTTTCAAGGTTGTGATGGAAATGCGAATAATTTTGCAACATATGAAGAATGTGAAAGTTATTGCGATGTGAACACCTGTCCGAATGGTGGTACTCCGAAAAGAAATGAATTTGGCCAACAGATAAATTGTTCATCAACTGTATCCTGTCCAAGCACTCATGAATGTACTTCACTTACTTCTGGAAATAGTGTAGTGAATAGATGCTGTCCAAAAAGAGGTTCGTTTTGTTTGAGATGAGATTTTTAATTTGCGTGAAAACTGTTCCTTAAATTCATCTATTTATCAAAAATTTTTCCACATTCATCCTCGCACACAAAAAGAAAATGTTCAAAATAAGATATAAATGAATCCTGAAGAAACAACCTTGATCTGACCAAATTTTTCTTCAATTTATTTGATTCGACAAGTCTCGTATTCGTGCAATTAAAGTTGACATGAAAGTAGAAGACATTACTTAGTAAGAAAGTAATTAAATCATTAATAGTTTAAATGATAGATACGATATGAAGTACATTGGAAGCAGTTTACAGCATATATCTGTTCGTTACCGCCTGAGCAAGGCAATCCGTGCGATACATCGTCTGTTACACGTTTCTATTTCAATGTAGCCAGCAAAGATTGTATCGAATTCACCTATAGTGGTTGTGGCGGTAATTTGAACAATTTTGCAACTCTCGAGCAGTGCAATAGCTTTTGCTTATCATCGGCATGTACCTCAGGCGATACTGTATACGTAAATCCGAGTACACATCTGCCTTTCGAATGCGAGACCGGCATAAAAGATAGTTGTCCCAGTAATTTTGCATGTGTCTATAATGAGCTTTTCGGAAAAAATGTATGCTGCGGTGCTACAGATATGGGCAAGTTTTCCATTCTTTCATTTCTTTCACTTCTGCTTAACTTGAACGATCAGTAAGGACGAATGAGGAAAAAGTATTTTTTCAACAGTCGAATTAGTAGTGCTTAATTCACTGAGTCATTTTATTTTCTACTCATTGAAATACTTTTTAAAATTTTTCTATATGAAATACGTTTATGATGCATAGTGCATCCATTCTTTTTAAGAAAACTTTAGAAGTGAGGAAATAAATTTCATGAATTTACAGAAATTTGCCCAACTGGTGAAAAAGCATATGTAAATTTGCTTAATAAAAATGTTCATGAATGCCTGATAAACGACACTAATTCATGTCCCAATTACTACCTGTGTCGTTTTCATATTCAGACAAATCGTTATTACTGTTGCACATCTGTCAATAGAGGTATAGTTAATTATACCTCATTTTCTATTAATAACAAGTTGAGTTGAAACATATTTCGCTATGATGAACATGCTGTCTTGTTTTTGAGAAATAACTTTATTTAAACGACGGATACACTCTCTGAATTGTGTTCTTTTTACTTTCATACAGGACAAAATGGAAGTAAATAAGTGATAATTTCGATTGATAAAGAGCGCTTCCTATCAAGTGCAAGTCCGATTTCTATAATCGAAAAAAATAATAAAATCCCTAGGGTCCTTTGCAAAATTTTACTGAACTACAATTCTAGACATATTTTTCAGAAGTATGTCCAACAGGAAAAGAGCTTTACAAAGATGCATCTTCTAACTTACCCATCCGTTGTATAATAAGCAGCGGGAGTAATCAATGTCCACCGAGATACAGCTGCTCGTCCGAAGTTCCAGGAGCTCTACAGGTTATTTTGTATTTGATTTATAAATTATCTAGTCTAAATTTAGGTAAGCTTGAAAAATCATCCGCTGTTGGCACGCTCTTAATGGAGAGATATAAAATGTATTAGTTAAACTAATTTTAAACGGTTGCTAATATATCATGAATACTTTCTCGAGCGGCATTCTTTCCACAAGGACCTTTAAAAATTCATCAAAACTCTTTAAATCTTTCGATGTATTTGAGATTTTTTCTAGAAATTATTGAAAAAAAATTTTCCAAGAACGATTCTAAGTAAAAAATTCGGATTTAACAAAACTGTTATATTCATTATATCACTGTTAGAATACTGACCAGTTCCTACGTTTGCTTGATTGCTTATAGAATGATGTAGAATTGACGTGATTGAATAAATCCAGTTTAACGTAAAGTTCATTCTGCGAAAATCATTACTTTTACTATATTTTTGTCTTTGTTAAAAAGATGCTTTGAGAAAATTTTTTGCAAGTAGAACATTTAAAGATGACGATTTTTTCTACAACTATTTTAAATGAATTTTTTCAAACTTAAAATCTAGATAAAAATTTATTGATTTTTATTCTAATCTATTGAGTTGTTAAACTTGTTTAAAATACATTATCCTTAGGGTTATTGTTGTTCATCCAACTACTTATGTCCAAATCGTGCTAAGTTTTACACAGAAAAGGCTAATGAAATGCCACGTTCATGTCAACTGAACTCACCTTTTATCACTTGTCCTACTGGCTATACGTGTCAAAATACGCAAACCGAATATGCGACCGGCTATTGTTGCGAAAGCGATAATGAAACAGTTTCCGGTAGGTTGGATATGTTTGCCAGATTATGACTAAGCAAAGAAAGAAAGTAAACTAGACAAATTTTTTGAATTTCATAATTTTGGTTACATTCTGTAATAAACAATCTAAGCAGAAAAATTTTCAAGCTATTTATACTAACGTAGGAAATTAACAAATGTACTTATTTCATACGCTCAATTGATTCTTTCTTCCGGGAACATTGCAGAATGTATTTGTTTGATAAGATTTTGATCTCGATTTT